CGTCACTGCAATTACCGGCACCCACGAGATCAGCGAAGCAGAGATCAAAAGGGAAGTCGGTTGTCAGTGATTTGGATCGACTGGACAGGGTTGACCTCGCCAAGCTCGCGTATATTCGATGCGGTGTTGACAACCTACATACCTGTTTCAAGCAAGGCGTCGACGAGAACTTTCTGATCAGTTATCGCCGAGAGTTTATGTCACTCCGACAATACGCCGCCGTAATTGGCGATAGCCGAGATGAGATCAAGATCCAGGGCTTTATCCCCACGACGGACGTCTATGGCGATATTCATTCAATTCGTATTCCTCGTGGAGACACGACAGGCATTTACAAGATTTTGAGTGAGTTTGCAGAGCAGAATGAAAATTATGCAAACATTCAATATCAGAGAAACGCGCAACAGTCTGCAAGTGTGCAGGGACGCGATCGTGGACAGCCAGTTTCACAGATGGGCTTCATGAACATCGAACAGCGCATGGCCACGCCTTATCCCAAGTTTGCCGATTGTGGCCAGGACATGTCGTCTGACGAGATTCGACGGCTTGAAGAGATCTTGCTTGAGTTTGGGCAGCGTGGAGCACCATCTCCTCAAGGACCTGTAACAAGGCCCCCATTGACGCGGAAGCGATCGCAAATGTACATGGAGACTATTGGAGATGCAGACAAACGACCGAGGCTGCAGTGGAGGAGGAAAGAAGACCGAGATCAATCTGGTCGTATTGCAACTTGGGTTGACAACCGGACTCCACCGCCAGGCGTGCCTCAGCCGCCAGCTCCCGTAACAGGGACGCATACCTCGTCGGTATTCCGTATGAATGCACCTCCTGCTCAAGGACAAGTTTCAGGAAAGGGTGACTCCTCTAAACAGGATGTCGGTGAACGGAGAGATGTTTCTGGAAAGGGCAAAGGCCAAGGCAGTTCTTCGGCAGCAGGCTCAGCCGCTCCCGCAAAAGGGACGCCGCGTGGTTCTGTCGCCCGAGCAATTTCCCAGAGCCGTGTCCTTCCACCTAAACGTGGCAACATCCCCAAGGACCTCTTGGGTCCCCCAACTTCACCGCCACCGTTAACTGCACCCAACAACCCACCTGCAACTGGCCTGTCACCAATCTCCAAGCCACGTCCAGCCAAACCTTCACCTCCGAAGGTCCCACCACCAAAGGTGCCTCCTCCAAAGGTTCCTCCACCGAAAGTGCCACCCAATACAGCCAGTGGCATTCCGGTACATACAAGGCCGACAGATTTCAATCTCACGCCGAAGCCGCCGCCGCTTACAGACCTTTACAGTCGGTTGCAACCTTCCGTAAAAGGAAAGGGCAAGGATAAGCAGCAGGTGAGTGTTCGAGGAGGACCTTATGCTCCACAGCAATGGAATGTACAAAACGTGCCACCGCCGCCATTGCCACCCGGAACTTCATCCGCTTCGGCATCATCGTCACATAATGCACCCTTAACTGGGCCGCCGACTTCCCGCATTCGTGGAACTATTGATCGACCATTGGAACCCTTTGATTTTCCTGGAGTACAATGGCAACGCGATGACCCATGGGGCGAGAACTATTGGCCCAATCACATGGAATTGTGGGAGTGGTTGAGGCAGGGATGGCATGACGAGACGGAGCGTTTTGGAATACAATTTCTTTAAGCAGATGTTGAATAGCTACCATAAATGGTATGCCTTGCAGCTTATGAGTGTTGAGATAAAGATCACCTTCTGACGCGCTGTGAGATGATGTTTCACTTCATTGTCTCACTTCCCAATGCATCCATAACAGGATTGCCATAGTCGGAGAGTGAACTTTTAATCAATGCTTAACACTAACCTGGGCCTAGCATGTTTAACCACATGCCGAGTGAGGCGAAAACTGTACATTAGGGTAGCTACGTTCTCCTTGTATAGTGCATGCACGAGCTTGATGAGGGATTTCTAATATGATTCCTTCGTCGCTAGAATTTGATCCTCCCCGAGATTTTCCCTACGGGTAGCTCCTTGTAAAGGGGGGTGTTGAAATTCACCTCATCCCCATGGACCCCGTAGCGTTGACTCTCAAGGTAGAGCAAAAGGTAGCGCTTACCGGGCTAGCAGGGTTAGCTAGGTAGTTAGTACTATTAGAGCTGATCCTGTAAAATACAGTTACTATAGGCGTTTTCTATCGTTCTTGTTCTTCATGTTGTTTCCATTCACAACATCGGTGGACTCGTTGGACTCCACTCGTTGGACTGGTGTGTCCTTGCAGCAGCTGTGGCGCTCAGGGACTCTTGACCCAGCTTGGCACCACCTTAGATCAGATCCTCGAGGCCCGATGCGTCACCGTGGGTGGCGCCACGCCACCCCACGCACCACAAGATGTGTTGGGGTGGTGGGGCGAGTTGCAGGCTGGGTGATGGTTTCAGATACTTTGATGTTCAAATGTTCAACCTCTACTTGGGATTTTTTGAACCCACTGACACATATTACATTGATGTCTCGATGTTTCGTCACCAATCACGGCCCGTGACCCCAAACAGTGACGTTTTTCTCGGGCGGCGAACCGTTCGCGCATCGGCGATCGGAAAAGAGAACTCCACCGTTCGTGCCTTCGAGGCTTTCCGAACAGGGACCCTTAGTCCGCACTTGTATACAGAAACAATAGCTATACAGTGTTTTCAGAGTAGATGGCACAGACCTCAAGATGTCCTTTGCATGGGGGTTCATATAAACCACCTCTTGGGATCTGTGCCATTTACTCTCAATCCACTGATCGAACCGCGATGAACCACGGATGGCTGGACCTCTCTTGTTGATCAGCATATACCGATGACCTCTGTCATTCTGCAGGAGATTGGTGGAGCAGAGTATGGAGGCACAGGAACTCCCTATCAGGCTGGTTGGAGTGGCACTGTGGGGACCGTTGTTGCCCTCACTCCCATGATTGCCACAAGTTTGAGGGATCATGATGATCCATGTTTTGGCTGTTTCAGTTGTTCCTTCGGGCTATAGCTACGAGGCATTGCCAGGCTGAAAGTGTCGTATCATGTCGTATCAATTGTTAATTGTACATAACTAGGCGTATACAATGCGCAATGGTTAAATTGATGATTAATTGATTTTGCTGTTAATTGTAGTTTAATGTCATTATTTTACACCTTTATACATATTTGTTCAGAATGTTTTTTATGGTCCATTGAGTTCTCGCACTCAATGTTTTCCATTCAGAGTGACCAGCAGACCGAACAGGAAAGAACCTGCGTTGCGTGTGCATCGCCTTCGAAGTCGCATCACTTCGGGCGAAATCCGATGACAGTGTTGGAGATGGTGTGACATGTTGAAACTCACGAAAGTGGTGGTGGAGACAAGCCATTTGTGCCTGGTAACATGTGCGGAGTGCTCGCACTGGCCTATGAAGATTCGCAAGAAGAATCAATATCATCCATCCTACAGTGCAAGGAAGGGGCAACGGTTGTGTATTTGTATAAGAGAGGGAACGACCACTAGATGATTTGGATGGGTTTGCAGGAAGGGGAACGACCACTATAATTGGATGATTTATATAGATGGGATTGCACCCCGCAAACACCCCAACGTGACCAGAATGACCAGAACACTCGATACCACCCCAAAGGGAGAGAAGAAGGACGAGAGAAAAGGAGAGAGAGAGAGAGAGAGACCGTCCTCATTGGAGTCATCCATCGATTGCTGGGTTCCCACAGTATCCTTCGTTCTTCTTCGACCTCGACTTCTCACAGCGTGGCATACTTGCGATGGTGCAAGGCAGACATGGTGGAAAAGTGCTTGAAGAGTCGCTGCCCCAGATGGGCCGGAAGGTGCGTGTGTGTGGACCGGATGGATCAGGACGATCCGACGGAGCAGATCCGAAGGCTCCGCGTATCTGATGATGGACTCGGTTTCCGGAGGCTCTCGCCGGTTTCGGCCTTTTTTGGGGTGTGGGATGGGGTCCATTTTTGGGGGTGCTGATTTGGATGGATCAGATATCAATGGCGCGAACCCAGCGGCGCTCAGAACACTGTATTAGGAAGCTGTTTCAAGACTCCTGGGGCGCTGATGTTTGACGCTTGACGCTGATTCCGAGGCGCAGATCAAGCACAGGAAATCATCGGACAGGTGGAGGTGCGATCAGTGGATGTCGCACACAGGGGTGGTCGAGTTACACCAAGCTCAAAACTCAGTAAACACATTGTTACTGAACTCAGCTATCGAAAAACATAGAGCAATAACAATGTTCAACTGAACAGCTGAATAACTCAGTTAAACTCGGTAAATATGAGAGCTGAACTTTGTTATTCGACATTTAGGCAGTGACGGCGACTATTGAATTGCTAGTTCTCCCCTAGCGCTTGCGATGCCTTCTGCTAGGGAAGTGTGAGGTCATTGGGATACACACTGCTTGGGTTTGGGAGTGAGGCAGCCAGAATATGCGATCCACAGTGCAAATGGTAATAAGCAAGGATGGGCTACATGGCTCACTTAGCATACTGTAGTATTTTACCCAAGCGCTAAATAAACACTTGTGCTTCTCGTACCACCTGTACTTCACCGTGTTTGGTTTATGATCCGCATGAATGACTCCTCCTATAGGACCTGTATAGGACGGTTTTGACGGAACCAGAACTCCTGTCAGCTCGTCCTTCCGGCGGCCTCGGTGCAGACTGCCGCCACGGCGCTGGCCACGCCAGGAGATGATGCTGCCGGCAGGTTTTACCTCCAAGGCGCACGGTGACACGCCGGTTGGCCCGGACGTGCAGGTGGCCACCGCAGTGGCACGGAGATGATGGGGACCACCAGAGTGAAGTTGTTTGATGTTATTTGCAGATCCAAGAGTTTCATTGATGTGTGCGGATCATGAGTTTCTCATGCCGGCGGGAGCGATTCTGTGATTACTCTAGATACTACTCTTAGGGGATCAGATCTTGGGCTCTGACATTTGTCGTGCGGGTGGGACTCGTGGAGAGATGGCTCCGATGCGTTGGCCGTCCGAAGCACGAGCGACGTGGCGAATGCAGCATTTGGGCTCCAAGAAGACCGGTCGTGGCGTGAGAGATGGGGGCTTTGCCACTTGGAATGCACTGGGCCATGGCATCGCTGGGTCCGATGATGGCTCATTTGGCACCAAACCGCCGAAAAGGATCAGGTCCACTTGTGCCATGTGTCCAACAGGGAGCGCACACTTTGGTATGGAGTCACCCATCTCAATCTGCAGTTAAGTCTGGGCGCATCTCAGGATTCCCACATTCTTTTGACATAGCAGATCTTTGAGGATCTCTGTAATTTACCAACATCCATCATCCATCAACATCCCAAGATGTCCCTCAGCAACACTGAGGTGTCAACGCGAGACGAAAGTGACGTGCCCCGATGGGCTGCAACCAGTGGGCGGCTTCTGTGGTGGGCTGAGGCACCTTGGTCAGCGCTTCTGGGTCGACTGCGAGCAGGATCCGTGTCGGCAATGTCACCTCGATGTCGGCGTTGCACTGCAGAAAGAAACGGATAGTAGTAGCGTCCGAACGCTCCCTTCGTAGCGATGCCCTTTGTTCCTAGTAGCAAACATTGCTCTTAGTAGGCAGTTGATCGTTCTTGTTTTTAATGTAGTGTTTTTAGATTAGCACATGAGGACAATCATGTGTGCACTGACCACCTTGAGGACATTAACAGCTTGTTAAATTATGTTAAATTCACCAAGCTGGCGGAGCCGTCTCAGACGCAGGGGGAGCCCACCCATGGCCGCCTTACGCAGGGTAACCATTGGTGGTCACGGGTGGGGTGTCACTGCCCGGCAGCCTGGAGTTGGTGGAACATTTTCGATGGCTGATAAGCAACATGTTCCCCCTACCAGAATGGATTTGCATTTTGATAACCTTTGTATTTGGGGTGGTGTGTGGGTGTTGGCTACAACCACTGGACCAAAATTGCCGCTGCTGCAGCAAACCTGTTTCAGTCCGTCTTCGATGACCGGCGTCGGACGCTCGGCCCAGGCGTGACTACGGAAAACGCTTCAGTTGCGCGCACCTCAAGTCCGATTGGCTTTCAGATGTCGTCACAGCCAAGACCATCTCAGGCATGTCGTCATCTCCGTCGATTGAGCCCGGCAGATTCTTTCACTTTCGGTTCTTTTTCCAAAATGGTGACTGCTTCCAAACCGTTTCAGTATATAGTTACCCTGTCCCCCCTTCCGAAGACGAGTTACGCCTTCTCGTGCGAACGGGTTATGCCATTGTTTCGCCACCGAGTCGGTGGAAGACCGGAGGATTCGGTCGGGGCAGATCCGCACAAGGAGACGACCTCCAAGATGTTCATGCGGGACTTCACCAATTGGTTTTCTTCATACCTAATGATGAGTCACTACTACAATGACTCCAACGTAGTCAATTTCCAGAGGTTTGGCAGACCCGTCGCATTTGGATCCATCGGGTGTGTCAGAAGGGAGGAGAAGAAACGCACAGTGAAACTGACAGGATTGAGGCCCCACAACGGACTTCAATATGTCTTATACTTCTAGGTGTAGTGTAGAGGGTGTTGCGTTTTTGCCAGTGCTTCCCAACAGCAGGTGCCAGAGTCGTACAAGCTCTATCAACCTCTTTGGTTTGAGCACCCCACTTTGAACTGCTTTGGTTCGCAGGATGACGTGAACATATCCTGGCATGTGGTTGTTTTGTTTTTTTCTGCGCAGTGTTTGTCTATGTTGGTTCTTCGGTCGTGGTGGCAGAGATGCTGCAGAGAGAGAGAGAGAGAGTAGAAGCATGCATGTTTGCACATTTTTGGACCAAGCGGAGGGGTTAAGAGCAAGTCATTCAGAGCACAAACATAATACGAGTGGGAGAGACATGCGATGGAGGGAGAGTAAATGATGTAAGTGACAGAGCGGAGCACAGAGTAGAGGAGAGTCGGAGTATAGAGAGAATATAGAAACTCGAGATAGAGCAAGAGAAAGAGCGATTGGGTATGATTGGGGGCGTGACTTGAGGATCATTAAATGTTGTCCATCCTTACGAAGGACTGGGCAAAAGCCACCCCTGTGCAGCGCACCTTTAACCGTGAGCGTTTCGGGGTCACAGCCGTTGGTGGCGAGGCGCACTCTTCTTGTTCTTCGCCACGTTTACCTCCACCATTGCGCTGGGGAAGCACATCAATGACGTGACCCATGGAGCCAACCGACAGCTGCAGACAGCGACGGTCTCTCTCACACACACACTCTCTCTCTCTCTGTTTGTCTTTGTTTCTCTCTAACAAGACCCAAGTTGATCCCATTAAGATCCATTATTAAGTGATCATGTTGATGAAGTCGGCAAGTGCCTGAGGTCATTGGCATCAACGAATACCTCATCATGAACAGCTGCTGGTTTGCATGGTCATAGGCATCATGAGCAGCAGTGGCCTTTGTGAAATTCCAAGTCCAAGGGCGTTGGCGGCACTGCTGGGGTAGTAAGCTTTTCGCTTCAGACACCAAAGGAGATAAAGAGATTGCAGTTGAGCTCCAGTAACTCTTTTGCGTATTGCTTGTCTCCTGCTGGCTGGAATTTCAGGTCGAGAGCTTGGAGGAAAGAAATCGTTATGTTTCAGCGGAAGTCGGTTCAAAAGATCCGACAGCGCGACTGGTCATTTGCCACCAGAACTGGGACAAAGCAAACCACACATGTTGGGTTCTCAAGCTCTACATTAGGAGGGCTTTCTATTTTGAGAGCTCTTCAACAGGGACCTGGGGTGCCCAGCAACCCATTTGGGCCCTTGTCCTGTGCAAGTGGCGCCTCCGGCTTTCCCTGAGGCTTTTCCGGAATGCTTCATTCGGCGCCTGGGTGTGAGAGTTGCCGAGTCCGCCGAAGAACTTCGGTCCGCGAAACAGGTGGCTGCCACGGGAACGGAATCCAAACCAACAGCTGTTGAACTATGATTGACGTCGTGGTCAGGATGCTTTGACCAGGAGCATTTGGACGATCCGTGGACGTGTTCATCAGGTTCATCCCTCACCCATCCTCACACCTATAAAAACCAAAAATGATCCAAAAAATCAGCAGTTTCTGGGATCGGAGGAATGATTCGTCCGGATTCGTTTGCCGAGGTCATCGGCACGCAGCCGCTCTTGGTCTTGCGGCCCACAGGGCCCATCACCTTGCTATTGGAGAAGCTCCACGAAGCCAGCGCCACCCGAAAAACGCCCCGGTCGTCGCGGTGCGGCTCGCGGGCCCACGTGGAGGGGAGGTGACGTCTTTGGTATTGGAGTGAGTTGTGTTGTCCTTGTTGGGGGATGGGACGGGGATTCTTACCGGAGGAGCCTGCCATGGTTCTTGGCTTTGGGATGATGAGAGTGGGGTAGAATGTCCAGCGTGTCCTTTGTGAAAGGAATTTGATTTTCCAAGGTCGCCGAGAAATGAACATGGCGTGTTGATGGTGTTGCGACGTTGGTCACAGTTCTCGAAAAATTTTGCAGGGGTTGGGTCTGTGTTTGCAATTGGAAGTCTAATCTTTCGAATCGGCTTTCGATTCTCGCTGTTCTGTTTTTTCGGGGGGGAAGAATGGGTGTATATATGCATGCTATGTTCCATCATGTCCTGTTTCGGAGATAGCCGCTACTTATGATTTGCATGATGTGGCCGCGGCCCGTGTGTTTTTGTTGTTGTCACTAAACTGAAAGGTTGCCCTTCCCAGCTCCAATCTCAATTCCCAGGCTCGATGTCCCCATGGCCGAACACCACAAGAATCCACAAGACACACAAATGAACGGCAGACTCCAGTGTTCGTTGCTCTTGAGGTATGAATGTTCGTTGTTTTGTGTTGTTTGCAGGTATTCCTATACTTGGGATGATTGAGCCCACTGACCAACATTTCTCAAGCGAGTTGAAAGCACCAACCAGCAGCATGTCAGCATGTCGTGTGTCCTTGTGAGGTTGGATCACGTCACACCAGCAAAGTCCTCACCAAGCAGAGAGCTCACAGCAGTACCACTACGACCGGTTTCTGCGTCCTCGCGCCCAAGGAGTGGCTGTCGTTGCCCTTTTGGCCCTTGCTCGCATGGACCGGAATCTTTGTCGGCTCCTGGGCCGCAAAACTGGCATCCTTGCGTCCCTTGGGCTGGGACGCCCTGAAGGATTTGGCATTTCCCGGGTGGGCATGGGACTAGCTCGGAAGCTAGCAGTCTTTGTTTGATTTTTGGGGGAGCTGTTTTTTCTCTCCCTGACCCCAAAGCACCAACCTGCAACATTCTGCCCTGAATGTGCAAATGAGACTCCAATTGGGAGATTGCAAATGGTAAAAAATGCCTGTTGATGTGTTCTTTGCCTGGGGCCCTGCATATACCTTTTCAGCTTCTCAGTGCATGGTGTTGCTCTCAGTTTGTCACACGCTCCCCAACAAACCTGGGAGGGGAGCTTTTGAACGTGTGTTCAGGTGAGCGTCAACGAGTTCTAGTTCTGGCTGGCAAGGGCGAATGAACAAACATTTTTGATCTTTTGGGAAGTGGCTAAACAAGTTTGAACAAAAACCTATATAGTTTAAACCGTTTAAACCAGCACCTTGCCCCGCCCTGCTGATCTTGGGCCACCAAGATCAATCAATTTAGAAGCGATGAGATGGCCCTTGGAGGCGTTGTACCGTTCCACGACCTTGGTGTCATGGGTTTGAAAATGGCAACATTACCAGCCCAGGTGTGTACATGTTCTTGATTGCGGCCTTCGAAGTGAGTACCTACATCAAGTACGCACCTTGGCAGCACGTGCAAAAGAAGAGATACCAGACCTTGGATGTACACAGGGGGTGAATGACTCGCCGGGAGTTTCACCGAACAAGAGAAGGATCCATTGTAGCGCCAGAGGGGGGATGTTTTCTTTGAGGGGGCAGCTGGGCAGGCCTCCTTAAGAATGCTTACGGTTACGTACAAATGATCTCAAACAGGCGCCGCTATCATGTTGATGCACCTTGAAACATCGCAAAATACCACAAAACCGCATGTTGATCAACCTCACTATGTTGCGTTTGATTGTTCCACTAAAGGTCCTGGCTCAGGTCGCTTGGTGTTTGGGAGGGCACACCTTCCACCCAAGAAAGAGCCTCTTGCGAGATCTCAAACGTGGCTAACCATGATGCTACACTGATGTGAAGGTTTGGACTTTCCACACCAGCGAACGTTTCCATGGCGAAATAATGCGAAATATATCTGTGTGTGTGGGGGGGGGATCCCGTGTTGACTCGACCATATGACCAGGTGACACCCTTTACTGAGAACATTTTCGCCACGTTCATCGGCACCGTTCCTTGGAGAGCCGGAGCACAGCGGCGATGTTCGGTCGCGGCGGATGGGCGGATCGGCCAGATGCCGTGCGTAAGAACGGACTGATTGTAACCCACGGACTGATGGAAAGGAAAGGACTTAACCAAGTCCTATCATTATGATAATGTTTGTTGTGTGCTCTTTGAATCTCTTAGAGATTCTTCAAGGTCTCATCAGGTCAGTTTACTAGGTCGGTCTAATGTATTTACTGTATTTAATCTTGTTTCGTGACATGTTCCTCCATTTCGATCATCGGCTGATCATTCAGAGACTCAATTAGGACTTTCAACATTTCCCTCCCACTTCTATCGAATCACTCAATACGATGCCACCTTACCCTACCCTCCCACGGCTGTTCCACCGATCAGCCAGAGCCCAGACGACAGACCGCTCGTCTTGCCAGCGGTCGTCTTCGCCGCAGAGATCTCGCCGAGCGGAGTGCCGTGTCCGCTGCGGACCCGAGGTCTACATCAACGATGGAATCCAGGGCATGATCCGTACCTGGGGCACCGAGGCGACCGATCGCGTTCACATGTTTGCTAGGCTGACGAACTCGTGTTTGAAGTGGGGCTACATGCGATGAACGGGTTCAATATGGTTCAATGTTTGCATGGCTCAGACTCAGCTGATGCAGCTGTAGTGGGCATAATCCCAGTTGGATGATGAACGTGCTGCGGGTTCAGTGACATTCAGTGACAAGCCAAACCCCGCAGCACGTCCGTCCTTTCGAAGGCGACCGACCTGGAAGCCCGAAAGCTCTTGGCCGCTCGAAAGAACACAGCGGCCGCCCGGGGCCGCTCTGGAAACGGGTGGGTTTGATGACCACAGCAGGGGCGGATCTGAAGAAAATAGACGATGAGGTCACCGGCAACGATGAGGTCATCTTGTAAAAGGGATAGGCAGGCAACTTTTAGGTCACCATAGCCGAGAACCAAGGACTCTTGGATTCTTGGCACCAAATTCGTTGAGTTGAGTCTGTTCTTGCCAAGAAAGAACGCTGAAATCACAGCAATCCCCGAAGTCAACAGCCCACATCTCGGTTTGGTCGGGGCCGATCTCGTCGGAAGGGCAGAGAAACATTGTGTGGTACAATACCCACAGCTCACAAAACGCCACCCCTAGCCGGGCCCTAATTATCCCGAGCTTCAGAGGAAGATAGTTGCCGGGGTGTAGAACAAAAGGGGCGGAGGCACTGCCACTTACATACCACTGTATATCACTATATGTGTATGTCAATGTAGTATGTATGTGTATATATGCATTGGATAAGTAAAATACCTGCTTCCTACGTAGAGAATATTTGTTTGAATCATATCCCTTTTGCTACGGTTTCGCTTGTGCTGGCAGCTCATGGATGGTCCTAGGTCGTGAACTTGACGATGGGCTGTTGTTTCTTAGCGCTCTACCTTAGCAACATCGGGAACACATCCTGGGGCACCTACTGCATACGGCAGCTTTTGGCAGACTACGTGCCCAGAGCGGAGAGAATTCCATGGAAGGAAGAGCTGAAAGGGCAGAAGGGTCGGTGGGAGAAAGTGGCTTGAAAACTACACCCAGAGCCTTCATGGGCACAATCCAAAGGTGATGACATGCGATGACTATAGTATATAATGTTATATATATGATTCACCTTATATGTAAACATCCTCAACAGCAGTAAACCACCCAGGAAAGTCAATTACCCCTGCTCAACGAGTGGGAAGTTGGAATTCTGTTGTGTTGTTGTGTTGGGGAATGACCATGTTTTGGTTCCAAAACAAGGCTCAGTCAGGTTCTAGGCATATATGTCCTTCTGATTGGCTGCTAACTACTGCCTCCAAAACCCAAGCTTAACACCCAGATCTTCGGGAGCCTTGGGGCGAGAGGTCGTAGGGAAATAACTTGAAAGTCCTATGCACTGCATCGATGACAGGCACTTCACTTCCAGAAACGGTCTTCCGACATGTTCCATCTTCTTACCTAGTCAGTGGAGATAAGGTTCCTTGAAAATTCCAGGCAACCCGAGGGAGTGAGTCTTGGGTTTAGGGTTTGGACATGCTGCAGCTTCATGTTACTAGACTTAGACGTTTCGGGAGCAGTCTCGAGTCGAGCCCAGCTTCGGGAGCGACCAAGCGTCTCCTCGTTGGGATGTCCGAAAGGAACGCAAAATCATGACGCATCACCTGGCTTTGACCGAGGCGTTGACGATCTCCATTTTCATCCTGGCGCTGGTGGCTGCGCTGCTGAACACACACTTCTTCCCCGTGGACTTCATCGCCACTGATGGTCTAGGCGCTGAGTTTTGCTTTTGCTTGGGCAGGCCTGCAGGACATGGAAAAGTGGGTCTCATCCCTGCGCACCACGGTGTATCTATGGATTTTCCTGTCCAAAACCATGCTGAACTCGCCCAACCCAGCCCACGCGCCAGGCTTTAGCACCACTCAGACAAGGCCGTGGACCACCGATCTCAGTGCGATCCCGGCAGAGGGTGTGCTAGCAGCAGCTGTGGCAGGCATCCCCATCGTACTGCTGCTTGGAGGGGCACTTCACGAAGACACTCGAACATTCCAAGGTGATGTTTTTCGGATTGGAGCTTGGTGGGAGCATGTTTGAACCTGGAAGGATGAGTTGGAGCGGTTCTTGTGGAGTTTCTGAAAAGGTTCACGTGGTACACTTGGTGGATTCTGCTACGAGGTGGTTGCAGAAAATTTGCTTATGAGAGCAGATTGGCGCGTGTGTTTGGATAGGTGTTAAACTTGTTTTTCCCTTCTTGCTTGGATTGAAGCCGGTTCTTGAAAGCTTGATCAGGTTTTTCTATTTGGACCAGAATATCTCGAGCATCATGTGCCAAAAGCCGGAGATGCACATCAAGAAGCTTGGGCAGTTATAATATGTTATAATGCCTTCGCCGGTCGTGGAAGACCAGGCCATTCAATTCACCCATTGAGATTACTCACCGAGAAGAACACTCTTAATAACTTTTTCACCCCTCAGGGAAGGATGTGAAGGAAGCAATGTGGGAACCCCCTGGGCCCCCTGGGCGCAAAGCTTGGAGAAGAATCGCTGCGATCTTGGCTGGTGGCTACTGGAGCCGCTTGTGAGCACACTGAGGAAAGGTGCATACTACCACTCCTCCTTCGCTTGCATGGCCCTCTTCAATCTGCTTGGGCCGATTTGGGGTTTGCCCTTCGTCGCCCGCAGCAGATTTAGAATGTTGGCTGAGATCTTCGGAGTGAGGAGATGTGGCTGCCGGGGTGGCGCTGTTCTGTTATCGTACGCAGCACGCATGTGGCCCTGGCCCTGGTATTCCATGCAGCTGCAGCTTCCCTTAATGTTATATAGAGTTTTTGGAGACAAGTGACATATGTGTTTGTTCCATCCGAAGTGTTCCTTCTTTGGGCTCTTCCAAAGGCACAAGTGCCGCCAGAGACCCCGTTAACGGACTCGACAATTGATTCTTGTGGAGGAAGTGATGCTATCAATCCAATCCCTATGGCAAGCTCGCGCCTCTATGATTTGATCATGTTGGAACATACAGAACATATGTATATATATACCTAGAACCCAAACTTGACCCCTGGTTTTGATAGGAAAAAACCATGTGGCTTGGCTCCAAAACAGGGGTCAATCAGGTTCGTTCGGTATATGTACGTCCTCACCTGAAGGTCCTCAGCTTCGTGTCGCCTTCGGGTCACGTTTTGTCGCGCGGCAGCGCTGCCGAGGTCACCGGCTCCCTGCCGCACTCGCCGCAGTTCGTCCATGCCATGACCCTCACCAACAAGAAGCACCGCCCGATCGGCGTGGTCGAAGCTCGGTTGGCCGGTTTCAGCGAATGGTGTGGAGCCGAGTGAAATTGGGGGGTTGACATGGTGAATTGGGCGAAAGGAACATTAAGATGCATAGGCCTAAAACAAGGCACCACGTTTTTGAGCGGGGAAAGTCATAGAAGCTGAATGAAACATTGTGGGAGGTGCAGAACCGTCACAAGACATACTATGAACCGTCTCTCACGCAGACACCACGGATACTTTATCCATTGCAAGCATGTGAGGAAGGTGTCGGGCCCCATAGACGGATGCCACAGAGATGCCACAGTCTTGTCGTGGCAAATCGCTCCAGGTGTTTGCAGCAAGGGTAGCAGGCAACGCTCGGAGCTAACGGTGTTTGACGAGCCCAAGTGAAATCTAAACAAAGTCAGGTGTTGGATTTCGCGCCACGGACTGTTTTTGCGCTCCGGGTGTTATATTTGTTCATATTTGTTCCATGTTCTTCCATCCGTGGTGCAGGAGTGAAAAGGGACGGGAACATGCAGAAACCAACCAGAAGTCCGACAAGGAGTTATTTCCAAGTATATAGCCCAAAGCCGAAACAAAGGGCAACAGTTTGTTTGGTGAAGATCATGTTTAGTCGTGTCGCGTCAGCACTCACATGTACAACAGTCGGAGTACGGTAGACAATTTGTATTAACACCATTTCTCATGATTTCTCCCAGACTGATGGACTCAGCCAGCCGCTCGTTTCCGTACTCCAGGAGTTCCAGTCCCGTGCCAGCTTGTCTCATGTCTCCGGAACCGGAACCCGCCGCAGCAAGGAGAATCGCGTGGCGCCTTTCATCGGCTACGCGCTAATGACGGTGGGTTTGCTTTTCCCTCAGCTCATGAGCTTGCACCTGGGCCCGATTCGCAGAGCAGCTTGGGGATGCGCGAGGGATTGGAAAAAACACTGTATCGGCTGGAAGAGCTGGGCACCAAGACATGACATGCCCCGAAAAAAAACGCATGGGCTTTAATAATGTGTCAAAAGGAGCGGAACACAATTATCATAGACCAGTATATGTTGGGTTTGTACTAATGCCTGTAACAGTCAGTAAACAATTATCACTATTTTTGAACAAGGCCTTTACATGCCTTTACTAACCATCATCATCCACTGTTACAGGTATTAGGATAGACCCAAAGTATACACCCTTGAAGATTAACATGGAACCTGAAAACCACTGGGTGATAGAGGAAAATAGTCTTCGACAGGTCCATTTTCAGGTTCCATATATATATATATATATTAATCTTCCCGAGTGTATGATTGGACTTTACCATGGGTGGTACTCCTTTACTCTTTTTGATATATAGTTACATATGCATATATCGATACCATATTAATTGCATTATTCCTTCCCAGGCGCCTTCCCCTTCGACCCTTCCCCTCCAGTTTTGGTCCTCCGAACGGCGCCCCGGCGCTCGAGGCTTCCGGAGACCGCCGTGAACGGCGCCTTGATCTACGTCGGCCTCAAGGCCGAGACGGTCTCTCACCGTCTCGGGCAGTGCAGCGGAGAGTGCATGCGGTGTATGTCACATAGAAGGTTTGTTAAGAAACGACAATTCCCATGATAAAAAGGACAATTCTCATGAACAAACCACCAAGAGATGTGAATTGGAACTCGTTTTGGTGCCTTGTTACTAGTAGCTTCTTGTTACTAGTAGTAATGCCAGAAGCTACTAGTAGCGTCCTTGCTACTAGTAGCGATGCCCGTTGTTTCTAGTAGCTTTTTATGCACCTAAGAGAGGTCATGTGACAAGTTAACTGAGTGTTTCTTGTGCTTGTGCTTCTAGTGAGGTATCGTACCAGGTGCTGTTTTGTCTCTTGTCCAACTTGTGTTCACCATGCACACCCAACACGATGCAGTTCTGAACCCTGAGGTTGAATTGTTTGAAGCAAAGTCATAGGACACATTGGACATTGGACCCCCTAGCGACAATCAATGGACATGTTTCTCGTGGCGTGAACCTATGGATTCGGACCCTGGATGTGATTTTTTTCCCTGCGGATTTTCCGACCAAGAGGCGGCCTTGGGGACGCAACTCTGGGCCACTTGGAAGAAGTTGGATGAGCAGAACTGACCTGCAGCAAGTTGCAGCATGTTGCAGCCCTCAAGGTAGAAGAAGCGGTGTAATCCACATCCGTGACAGCAGTATGGTATGGTTTGCTGAGCCAGCCTTCCTGAACCAGTCCACTAGAGTCACTATAGGAAACCAACACTGAAACGCCTGCGAAGAACTTCTGTTTGATTGATGATCACCGCTTGGAAATGGTGCCTAGCCGCAGGGCCAGCTCACTGCACCTTGCTACAGTAATTAATTTATCCTTGCCCTCCCGCACTCCAATCATTGCCGTGGCACCGACTGAGGAGCGTTTCTTGCTCTTCTTCACCGATCCATCCGAGCCCCTGCCACCCTCAGGAGCCAGCTTCACCGAAATAGCGAGCGAATAGCACAGATGTTTCGAGCCTGCCAAACCGCTCGGAAGCAGAACTCCTGGTCCAACCAGGGTTTCCTGGAGACTTCTCATGCAGAATGGATATGAAAGGATCAACTGCAGTTGTTCATTGGTTCATCGGATGTACCAGAAGTAGAAGTCTCAACACCAGCTTGAACACAGTTCCAACACATTCGCCGCGCTTCTGCTTCTGCGCCGCAGCAGGATACAGCCACTTGCCCCGGAAGACCATTTTCCTCTTCACCGCGATCCAGCTGGTCTGCGTGGTCGGTTGTTGGCTCCCTGCATTCGGGAAGCGTTGTGGGGCACTTGCTCTGAAAGGGAAGCTGAGCCGGGGGAAAGGGATTAGGCCAAGTTTAGGCCGCTTTTTTGCACTCATTCCAAGACCATCAGAAGAGAGCCACAACACAGGGATGCTTCTGAAAATCCTGAAGTTCAGGGGGGGCGGAGAAGACCTCACCCTCCAGAAGTGACATTGGATGTGACTGAAGATCTCCAGAAAGTGCCTTGTTCAGCCGGCCTTTTGAAGACGTAAGATTGCAAAGAATTGCACAGAGAGAGAGAGAGAGGGTGTGTGTGCGTGTGTAACCCTTGGAGTCAGAGGGATTTCTTCGAACTTGTTTGGTTCTACTTGCTTTACTTCAGCAGGGGAGCGGTGGGCATTCTTGAAGTCACCGCTCAACGAAGACACTTCAAGCTTGCTGTGATATGCAATCTGGACGCAGGTTGCACGTACCTGCGAGAAGATGATCACTTTTTACTTCCTCCTTGGTCCCGTACCTCACTAGAACAAGATGACTCAAGATGACCAGCCATTGCATCCGTTCCCTCACCGCAGTCACGCTTTTTGCTTTTGAGTTTTGAACTTGGAAACTGGAGGCTTCACGGAGGTCACATGTCATTTTTGAGTTGGACACCGTTCCATATTTCAGGTTTCGCTGTACCTGTTCCTGTACTCTTTGGAATATGGTCACTTGGGTTGCCGTGTGGCATGTGGCATTCAGTTCCGTACGCAATATCTCAAGTGTGTGTTTGTGTGTGTGCGCGGCCGTATCCCCACCAACACTTGCTAGCACTAGTATATATATATATACAGTATATAACATGATCATGTTACATTGGTAGTTCTATTTTTGCATACTGTATGTCACAAGCCTTTTTGGCGTTATGAACATACTTGAACATATAAAGCTAAAGACCTTTGCCAACCACTCTGGTCAATGCCCATGGTCCATCCATTTCACGACATGTTTTGCTCACCATTCTTACCGGTGAGGCTTTGCAACATCTTCATCGGCCTTGGGTTCCCCGTTTTCGTGTCCTGGGTGCAGGGGATTTCGTGTGTGGGAGGATTTGTCCTGCCTTTTGGTGTCGAAAAAAACCGGCACGGCCAAGACCACAGGACGGCATCCTGCAAGGGTTATATAGTATATATATAGAGAGAGAGAGAGAGGTGGAGAGATCAGCTGATGCACTTGGGGATGGAAGAACTACTTTTGGTGGTTTGTCCTTGTTGAGGGGTCATCGGCATGTTTGCGGTCATGGCGGCCCATTGATCCATTGTACCAGTTTGACAAGTTTGCTTGAACGTTGGTTTGGGAGTCCTGGTTGGTGTTTCGCTCCCGTCGTGTTGAACGCAGGCACCGCACACCTGTTTGTGAAGTTTGTATTATTTTCTGGTTGCCAAGGCATCCTCATCATGCCCGCGGGCAGCCATTGGGCCGGCGGAGAACCACTCCCATCCGCTAGAAGAAACATCAAGTCAAACTAAGCTGCGGTTACACTATGTTGATGAAGAGATAAAGAACATGCACACAAAGCTTGCCAAAGCATGGGTGGTGAGAATTAGTGAGAATAGAATAGCATGATTCCCTAAAACCACAGGCCAATTACAGTATATAAGCTTTGAGCGATCCACTGGAATCCATATGGTCCATATTTAAAACATGTTAACATCACACTATCGCAAACATAATGCTGAGGACCTCCAGACGGGCTCTGTGAAAGGTTTTTGGTCTCTTTCAAGCATTGCCTTGCATGAAGCATCATGAAGCAATAAGAGTCATCCCAAAGAAATCTGATTGGCAAACTCTTATATAATCCAATGAAAACACGAAACCAAGGCTGTCTTTCTCGCATGTTCCTTCACCAGGCGCCCGGCATTCCGGAGTGCTGGTGACCTGAGGTGGTGAGTTTGATCCCCATCCGCTTCTATTTGCTGCCCTGCTTTATGGCCCATGAGGACATCGAAGCACTCATTTCAGAGGCGGGGCGGGTCATTTCCATCGCCGATCTCGTTTGTTGTTTTTGTGTGTGTGTCAAGCATGCTGAGTAATAGTGACCGACTCAGTCATCCAAAAAGCAAAAAGGGATAATGATGTATGCGACGTGCTAGTTGAACATGGGTGCTGTCACCAATTAGCCTTACATTCGTGTCATGTCCATCAAAGCAACATGCATGTCCCCCACATCTACCGCAAGGGAAAAGGATCATGAATGATCCCAAGATATCCCAACCTCAATTAATCAAAACAAGGAGGTGTACAGAAGTATAGTCATGGACCGATACATGTGAACGCCTCACGGCCACACATGTGGATACACTACACCCTTTGGAATGCCTCCGTTGAGGTTTCCTGTGTTGTCCGATCCGGATGTTTTGGAGGATCGACATCGATGGGCCCCAATGGATGGCCCTACTGTAAATGCGGATGGACAGGTGCTCAAATGCTCAGACTTCAAGGTCCAAATAGCTTTTGGGGCCACCTTTTTGCCACACCTACATGTCTCGTGGATTGGTAGGATTCCGCTTTTGGGAACGGAAGTAGGCATGGGTAGGCCATGCCCCCAGGCTTTCGCGCGATCCCAGGAACCTCCAAAGGACTCTGACGAGCGCCCCGATGTTGACAGCCCTGATGGCCCTGACGCGGAGAGTTTTGGATGGTGGAGTTGAGTGGAGGGTTTGATCAGTATGTGCTGCGTGAGCAGATTTTTCCGGATAAAAATGACAACATGATGGTAAAATTAGGCCACAGGCGGCCCAGGGTTGCAGGCCAAAGGTTTTTGGATATACAAATCCACAGTCGGATCCCCAGCCCCGGTTTTCAGTTAGAACCCTCAGGGGTGAACGAAAGCATATGGTTGCACACCATGGTCACAGTATGTGACTGTCGGGGGCACAGCTTTGACCACTCCAACACGATCATTTGCTTGGACAGTGTAGGCTTCACTGGCTGTACGTTGGCATCTCCTAGGTGGGGTTGTAGATGTTGGCACCCGACAGTCCAAGCATCACGATAGCCACGGGTCAAGAGTTTGTAGAGCTGGCAGCCATGGTGTTTCAGAGGCCCATGTCATCCACTGAAGTATCGACTTTCCAACATTGTAACTTGTAACCAGTGCACAGTCCATTTCGTAAAGAGTGCATTCACTTTTCGTAACTGTATATATGCCCTATTGATATGAAGGGGTCTATTAAGACTCAAGACGTCCTTTGCTTCGAGGGATTGGCCAAAAGAGGTGGCTTTGTCCATCTCTTTCCAAAGATATATCAGTGATAAATTTGGGTAGATGTATCCACTTTTCACGAAAGGTAGCCCTTTAGGGGATACCTTGAGTTTGTCTTGCGAAGCAAGTGTTGGGACGTCCGGGTCTAATAATTGATCGCTCAATTCAGACCCCCCCCACCCCCCACCCCTCGAATTTCGAATTGTTTTTTAAAACACCCCCCCCCCCCCCGCCCCCTTGGCATTGATTTTTCAATACAGACCCCCCCCCTCCCCCCTTTAAAATCAATTCTCTCCTGGAGATCGTCTTCGTGAGCCTCTCATGATTTCAGGATAGTTGAAACCCTCTTGAACATTCAGAAAGAGTGAATATGAAATTCTAATCACGAAAGGTGTTCCCCGAGGGGATACATACCTAGAGTTTGTTTTGTGAAGCACGTCAATTCTCTCCTGGGGAGCGTCTTCGTGAGCCTCTTATGGTTTCAGGATAGTTCAAATCCTATGATGTTCCGATTCAATGCTCACCGATGATCTGAGCCATGGGGCAAGTTTGTTTTCCTAAGAATCTTTTTGAACATTTCGAGAGCACATGTTTGAACATTTAAAGTGCATATGAACATATATGTACGAAAGGTCGCCTCCGAGGGGATAAATCACCATGTCGAACATTGCATTTTTGTTCCTGCCTCTCGCGTTCTCTTCTCTTCCCGCTGTCCTACCTTTCGTGTCTCCCTCCTCTCAAGTGCGGCTTTGGTGAGGTCATCCACTTTTGTGTGTTTTTCTTGACTTTCAGGGCGCCCCACCCATCACTTGAGCCCGTCCCATCACCGGTGTCACCCGATGGGTCCACAGCAAAGCACCGATCAGGAAAGCCGTGATGGATGCCGAGAACGGCGAAGCATCAGAGGTTGCGAACTCCACAGCGGAGAAGCCGAGTGCGACCAATTTCTCCTTGTGAGCCGTCGGCCGGCCGGCCGTTTTGAAGCTGGAAAAGAGAACAAGTCAACGGCGTTTGCTTGAACAGACCCAAAAAGAGACAATCAAGATTATACTATCAAGCCAAAAGCCTCGCATAGGTTTTGGCCGTATGTCGAACATGTGACCACTTAGGACGTTGGGGAGTTCAAGTTTTGCAGCCCGGATGGGTGTGTTCAATGTCGCCCGCAAATATTTTAGCTGAACATGGGAGGATCTTCAGGTCACACAGTGCCCGAAGGCTTCAACTTTGTTTCCTGGAACCTCCTGCTTCACCTGCCATTCGGCCACAGCAATGGTTTACTGATCTAAATGGGATCATCCCACAACTACCGATGTTGTTTTCGAGAAAAGGTGACTGGTCGGCTGTAGCACAGAGCAGCGCAGATCCTTTTGGTGTCATGCCCCTTGTGTCCTGAAACAGCGAGGGCATCCTCCAATCCCTGGGGGAGACGAGCGACTTGAGATCCTGGAGATCCATTGCTCATGGCCCGTCAAGCGTTCCACGGGCACTTCTAAAACATGTGACATACAATCAAAGGTTGATGTCGTGGTGTTTTTCTATGTTTGAATGTATGGAAGTCGTGGCGATGTCGCGTTTGGTTGGGGAGAAGCCTATCATGTGTGCTTTGATGGGTTTTTCCTGCAGCTGTGGTGGAGGTGGAAGGGGAAGTGAAGTGCCAGCGGTAAATACAAAAAGAATCAAAAAGACAATTAATGCAGCATAGACCCTCACTATCAACAAACTCTAAAAGCAAAAGCCCCTGAGACAAAATCCAATAAGTAGCCAAGTCAAGCCAGAAAAGTGGGGAGACAAGTAAGGAGACAAGGCAGCAGCGGCAAACAAAACACCGATCGCAGCGGCAAACAAGTGCAAAAAAAACAGACAAGTAAGGAGACAAGGCAGCAGCGGCAGACAAAACGCTGATCACACAGGCAGACAAAAAGAAGGAAGGAAGGAAAGAACGAAAGAAAGAAAGAAAAAAATACAGGAATAAAGACAGAACAACCTAATATGCCGGCTGTGGTGGTGGTGTTGGTGGTGGTGGTGGAGGGGGAATATACGTGATGAGGTACTGTAGGTAAAGGTCTTCATTCTGAGGGTTTTCCTTTCTGGCAAGGGTTCTGACCTCATTTACCCTTTGTTCACCCTCGTTCAACTTGCGTGGTTTTCAGTAAAGTGTCCAGAGCCTGGCCCAAGGGATCACAACAAGTTTTTCCCTACTATGCCGTGACTTCCGCGGCCGAGTGTATATATACATTACTTGTTAGTGTACATCGTGTAAGAAACAACATAGGTTGAGATGTGGTCGTTGGTGGGGCAGTAGATCCATGTAGATCCTTTTCTCATCCGGAATGGCCGAAGTTGCTGAGAGAAGGAAGGCCGAGTTGCGAAACGGTCGCGCAAAGTGCGGCCGAGCCTGTGGGGGCGGCCCTGCAGTCGACGACCTCGCAGTGCGTTGGTTCCGCGGGCTCGCAGGCTTCACTCCAAGGCCTTGTAGCAATCAAGGCCAAATCTTGTTAGACATAGTAGGAGACAAGATGGATCATGGTTGTTTTGATGGTTTTGGGGATTATTTTTTAATTATATATAGGATACGGTTGGAGCTTTGTTGCTTCGGTAGGCGCATACCTCCACGTTCTTCGCGGTCGACCCTACCCAAGGAGTGTGTTTGGACCAAGGCCGTTAACGCGAACTCCTTGTGGAACTCCGACAAAAATCGCACTGGGTCAATACTTTTCAGTGTTTGCCCGCAGCTTTAAACACGAGAGCATGTCGAAGAACCCACTGGACGCTTCCTGATCCTGGAGGTGATCTTCACTTGAGTACTTGAACGAACCACCCTACAGGCCTATGGGTCATGACCCTTTTCATGGAATTCCTACAACGCGGCCCCTCCAGTTTGGAGGACTGGCAATGTAACATCTTAGAAAACTTAGAATCCCTCAAACTTTGATGGGTTTAACAACCCGTGCATCTCAGGGATTATAGGCTATTATAGGGCATGTTTGTTGAGACAGACACTTCCACAGCGCACTTGAGTCCACTGGGCAGAAGCCTTGCCAGTCCGCGGTCTGGACGACCGCCGGGTCCGCATCCAGTTTTGCTCGGAGTCACAAGCCCTTAGGGTTTGAGAGGACCGAGGGGAGCTTGGGCAAATCAGGTGAAGCATCAATCTCAACCTCAAATATTTTTTCAGAACCATGGGGTGTCACCCAATTTTGAAGTAGGGGCAATTTCCTGGGGAGATCGATCCTAGTGGACGCATATATATATATATCACTTGGGCCTGCCCCATTCCCAGTGACAGAGACTTCAATACACTTCACCACTTTCACTTTGCGTGAATCAATGTCCTGGCTCAGCTTGATTTGCCGCCTTTGGACGTGGAAACAATAAACTAAGTATTATAGACGTTTGATTAAGAACTCCCCCCCGTTTGAATTGTAAAAACTCTTCATGTGTGTATGTCATTTATTAATCAATAGTTTTACATTATATATATATATATACCATCATCCTTTGGGCGCTTGTTGGTGCTCAGAACCCCAGAGACCAAGTACTAGTACCAAGTTCATCCAAGTTCTCCAACAGATTAATTAATATGGAAGGATGTGAAGTTTATTCAAATTACAGATTACAGTACATAATTAATAGTTCATCCAAATTCTCCTAGTTCATACAAGTTCTCCAAGTAATATGGAAGGCTCGGGGGCTCGGGAAGGTTCCGATTGGGAAGCATGCATTGCCCAGGCTTTCATGTTGGTGTCACTGTCACTAGGAATGGAGTCGTGGTAGGTGCTTGCGTGTTCAACACGGTGACCACAGCATTCCGCGGAACGTGATTTTCTCAGAATCTTTATGCTCAAGACAACTCAAGACCCTATGGGAAGAGATGAGATAGGCTTGAATGTCAGGAAAAAACCTGATTCTTCCTGTCTCGTTTTGCGCCACTACAGGCCGAATGAGAGAACGCTTGTACAGAGGCAATTGGATGGGCTGGTGATCAATTGTCGTCGCCCATGGGCGATTTTGAACATGCCCGTCACCTGCAGGAATTGGTCCTGGCACTTGTAGAAGCAATGTTATTTTCAAACCGCGCTCGTACCTCTTAAACAGGAGATTTGCGTGTGTGTGTGTGTCCCCTCTGGAGTCACGAGGTTCCTTTTGGACTGTTTTGATTTTTCTTTGAAGGGGGACACAGCATTTCACTGGGACTGTGTCCAACGAAGCTACCAGTGAAATGGGATATCCAGCTTGGCCAGCTGGACGTACCTGCAACAATCTTTAAGTCTCCGTAAAGGGCTAATGCACTCTGCAGACACGAGCGTACGTCGTCATCCTGTCGTCTCGACCTCGACTTGCGCTTTTGGCCCCATCTCCTTTTGAAGACCTTCAGGTCCGGTGGTTCTTACTTGCACTCTTAGGAAATGGTAACCTAGGCCAGCGTGTGGCAAACCGCTTTCAGTTCAGTACGCAAAATCTTAAGTGTGTCTGGCTTCGTGCCAGCCCAGGGTGACCCCGCAGAGTGGCCCCTGTGGACCCGTTGAACCGGTGTTAGTCTTTATCTCCCCTGGCCGGAGATGTACGTGAGTTCCAAGCTGGCTCATGCCTTTACGTGACCACACCGGTCTAAGCTGGCTTAACGCCTCAACGTGGTCAGAGCGACCAAAGCCGTTTGGAGGTTCGTTGGAACCTGTCGCACTCTTGAACACACACAGCATGTACACCTAAACGAGGTTTGGTCTACCTAGGTTTTTAATAAGGTTTGGACTCGTTCGTGTTCTCTTGTCCCCTTTATTTGGCTTCCCTTTCATTCTCCCCTCGACACACCTTCTTTTCCTCTTTCGTTTCATGCCTTCCTTTCTTCATGTCTTTTCATCTCATCTCTTTTCTTCTTTTGCGCGCACCTGGCCCGGCACTTAGTATGTATGTGCGCAACCTACTGTCAACCTAGGCTTCAGGTCGCCCAGGTCCTTACAATGAGGTGGTTTTTCATCGGTTGTCCCTGTGCACTTGGTTTCCTTTCATCGCAGCCACACACACACACACACACCTTTGTCCCGTCTTGTCCTCCTTTCATGTCCTCATTCGTTTGTCTTGCTGCGCGCGCACTTACACTTTTGCCTCAGCCTTAGAGTTTCTCGCCTCCCCTCGGGGGGCGTGTGTGTGTCCCCTCTGGAGTCACGAGGTTCCTTTTGGACTGTTTTGATTTTTCTTTGAAGGGGGACACAGCATTTCACTGGGACTGTGGCCAACGAAGCTACCAGTGAAATGGGATATCCAGCTTGCCCAGCTGGACGTACCTGCAACAAAATTTACGTCTCCGTAAAGGGCTAATGCACTCGGCAGACACGAGCGTACGTCGTCATCGTGTCGTCTCGACCTCGACTTGCGCTTTTGGCCCCATCTCCTTTTGAAGACCTTCAGGTCCGGTGGTTTTTACTTGCACTCTTAGGAAATGGTAACCTAGGCCTGCGTGTGGCAAACCGCTTTCAATTCAGTACGCAAGATCTTAAGTGTGTGTGTTTGTGCGCGTGTGTTTATATAGGTCCTTTGGGGTGTCCTTAAACATCAGCTTAAAATTGCATGACACGGATGCAGGCACATCGTCCCGACCCCAAAAGCACAGTAGAGGTTTACGGCCCACGCACGGTCTGAAACGTATTTGCACGCCTCCAACCTAATAGCCATGGCCTCCAACCTCATAGCCATGGCCTCCAACCTAATGGCCATGGCCTCCAACCTCATAGCCATGGCCTCCAAACCTAATAGCCA